TTTATTATGTTGAAAATAAACAATTACCAAGTTTCTATGGGAAAGAAAGTACACCAAAATTGGAAGAGATCATTATCTAGATGAGAGAGCAGACTAGACTAGAAATATTTCTCCTGCACATGTGTTTGATTTCTTAAATTTGCATGTCTGTATAAAGCATGGAAATAGAATAATATCCATTATTAGTGATATTAGTTTCAAAGCTACATTTGGAAAAATTACAATGAGCTACTTGAAATTCTACTAAATAACAGAAATATGCCCTTTAAAAATTTAGCCATTTGTAGTATATACAAATATTTAATGCAATGGATGCCATAATTTTAATATTTTTATATCCAGTATAAGTGTAGAAATGTTAAAAAATGTGCTTCTGTCTCAGATTTTATTTTTGGCAAGCACTCACATGCACAAATAAGACACAGACCAAGAAATAAAAACATCCTCTTTTAAGGAGTCCCTGGCTGCTATTCTGAAATTGTTGACTGGGCAAGGGGAGAATCTGACCCCAAAGTAAAGCAGTATCAGAGGGAAACGGAGGTGGCAGTGCCTGTTCACATTTCTGGGCCATTGCCCACATGTGGGCCCCGTGCCAGAGATGGCGCTGGCATTCCACACAGGGGATGCTGCCCATTCGAGCCTTTATTTTATTTGAGAAAGACGAACAGCTCTACACAGATTAGTTCTTTGAAACTTCGGGTGTATGAGAATAAAATGGCCAGTTGGTGGTTTGTGAACCAAGAAAGAGAGCTAGCTGGATGTTGGGAGAAGTTTCTACATCTTTCTTGCTAAACATTAGAGGAGAGTAGTGCTGAATTACAATAAAAGAGTAAATTTATACATACACACACATATACATATAGACGTCAAAATATTGGGGTGCAAATGTAGAAAATGTCTAAAAAGAAGTTATTTTACATATTGGCAAACTCTTAGCATATTTTATATCAGAAGTTTCTAAAATATTACATGGAAATTTTTAGTCTTCTCCAGGAATCAGACTAGTTAAGGACCTCAAGATTTTATTATCAATGATATTTGAATATAAAATATTTAATTCTCTGAGCAGGAGTATTTCTGACAGGTAAAGTTCCACACTTTTGTAGAACTCTCAAACTTGTGAAAAGTATCCTAGGAAAAGCATAACATTGTACCTGCACCTTTCAAGGCTTTGCATGGAATGCTTTATTTTCTAAGAATTAATCAAAAAGCATTTAAGTATGAACACTGCATAAAATTGTGACTGACCACCATGAAGATACTCCATAATTATAATAAATTTCTTTTTATTTAGTCCATCTATGTATTCATGGCATCCTCTAATAAATGTGTACCCCTGAAAATGCTCAGTAACTGTACAGTGGGAAGCAACTGATCATTCTTAATTAAGCATCAAATGTGCTTCTTCACACAGCTGCACACACGTGTTCTAACCTAATTGTTAGCTGCACCTGCTCCAAGGTAGCAATATTTCATAGAACACATGGCAAGAATGACATTTTCAAGTGTTCATCTGTTGAATGTAAATCTGTACTTTCTTTCAAGAGTTTAGAAATCTTATGCTTTTTGCCAAATAGGAGCCTAGTATACAAAAATGTGGGCAATTTTGAATTTCTTTACTTGAAAACAAAGCTGCTTATGCCATCTAAAATAAGTCATATTCTTCCATATTATAACTGAGTGGTTTTTCACTGAGAAATATCTCAGTGATATTTTTCAACATTTATATAAAGAACTTTTTTATTCAACCAAACATTTTTAAAAGCTGAAAATCTTTCAGACTGCTGCAAGTTGTAAATAAGAAGTTAAAATGTTCTTATTCTGTACCTACTCTGTCCACCACCTCCAACGCCATGATGATTTTTGTTATTATCTTAAATCTTCCATGCCTGAGCATTAAGAATAGCAATGATAAAAAGAAAATTACCTTCTTGAGATTACAAGCTTAAACTCTTGATTCTGCACATGCAGCAAATTGGTTCCCAGAGATCACACCCCTTTTGGTAGGAATCACCCCAAAATCTTAAGTTGAAGTAACCATATAGTTCAAATACTTTGATTTATGATATACAGAAATACTTTTTCATGAGATGGAAGTTTTGTATTAAATCTGTATGGTGTGAAATCCTAATTTCTTGTCTTGTAAAATGATGTCCTGTTATTTAAGAGAACAAATGTCTATCTACACCTGTAGTCTGCCAAACATGAAATGGAAAGCACATTGAATATAATTAAAAGCAAATATATAGAACTGTGACAGGTAACTTTTTCTAGAGGTTTCGTTGGTTCTTCACTTATTAAAGGGTCAAAACACTGTCTGCTCTGATAATAAGTGAAGAATGAGGTTCCCATTTCCACACACTAAAGCTTCCTCATCTCCAGTGAAGATTTAGTTGCACATTTATGTTAATGTAAATATGCCTTTAAGTCAAATGAAAATATACTCTACTTACAGAATTGGAGGTAAATGTTTTCAGAAACTTAATCAAGTTACTTAGGAAAAACATTAATAAAATTTCTATCTTAGACTATCATTGTCTTCACTTAATTTTAATAAACTAAGATTTTTCTGTACAACTACCAAAAGACTACCCTCAAATATAACAAGAACCCACACTACACACTTCAGAAGAAAACACAACTAAGGGAACTTTTGTGTCAATCATTGGTACATGAGTCAAACTTATTTTGGAAACCTGGCTACTTATAAAACAATTTTTAGTCATAATAGTTCAAAGATACAAAAAGTTTTTAAAGATCTATCAAGAGCAAAGGAAATATACACACCCACCTGATTTTTATTCAGTGCTGTGCAACTATTAATTTGCAAAAAACATATATTTTTATTTAAAATAAAACACTGTGTTTCTAAGAAGCAATAATTACCGGGAATCTCTCATGTCCTTTAAATGTGATCATTCCACCCTATCAAATCAATGTGGTATTCTGCATCCTGTTTTTTGTTTTGCATCTCAGTGAACATGGCTGCTAATTATATTATCCTGGTGACACATAAGTGCGAATGGGAAAAATCTCATGATTCTTAAAGAGCATAGAACATTCCCTGTGATTCAAATGTATATACTTGCTAAGATTGAGCACTCATATATTGCAGTGAATTCTATTTTGTTAGAGAACCTAGCTTAATTCAGAATTTCCGTTTCATGAATGATGTAGCACCTCTCCCAAACACCAGTGCATGTATGTGTGCACATGAACACATACACGAGTACACATCATACACAGAAAGCTTCAGACTTATCCCACTACTTTCATATTTAGTTTCCCTATTTGTATAGTTATGCTTTTCTAAAATAGTTTAAGTTCTTGAGGAGTTTGTGTTCACACAAAACACCATATAGAACTAATGCCTACATTTGTCATAATAAAGTCCTACTATGCTATGTGATTAAAGTTAAATCAAGTTTTTAAAACTGAAAATTAAAGAGAGCATAAGAATGACTTTACCCATGCACTCATTCTCATAGTTATATGTTTTAACACAATGAATAAGCAAATGTATTCTTTTCTGAATCGTATGTGAATTTAAAATTGTTTTGAAAATGTTTATGCAATTTGGCATACTTGACCCAATGTAGTTTAACAAAGTAAGCTCTCTTATTATCCTGATTAGTTTTATCATTAAGAGTAAAAATCCTTCACTTCAAAGTTTAAATTAATATGTGGTAGGAAAAGATAAAGTGATTTGCACATCATCAAGAAAATACTACATTCTTAAAATTATATTTGTATGCCTACTTTTTCTTAAACCAAGTAATTCACTGTTAAAATATACACATTATCAGATAACTTTCCAGAGAAAGAAAAATATCCTGAGATAATATACAAGAAAAAGAACTACTTCAGCTGAACACTAAATAAAACAACAACAGCAACCACCACTGATGACAACTGATAAACAAAAAACACTTAAGGAATTCTATCAGTTTCAATGGCAAATCCCTGCTCCTTTGAACACTTTACTGATTGGGCTCTCAGAAATTTGCTTCAGTCTTGTAGTCCTTTTAGCCTTTATGAAACAGTTGCTGGAAACTTAAGTGGCTATTCAGATTAATATATACTTTCCAGGAAAAGCTATTTGATAACTGGGGTGAGCAAGCATCTTCTACCTCAAATTAACCATTTACAGTGGTATATCTTTAGGCTCTAAAGTATGTTCAGCCCCTTTCCTTGCCCTTAGGGAATTTAAATTCAGATACATGACATTGTTCCAATATTAGCTCCTTACCTCTTTACAACTGAACAACATTCCTCAAAAAGTACATGTAATTCTCCATCCTATAGGATCAGTATCTATTTTTGGAGCAATTACATACATAATGTAACACAGAATATTTTCTCCTTAGAATTGTTTGTAATAATTGTGATTTGAAGGGCACTGGTTCAGTCTGTGGCAACAGTGTTGCTGAGTTCAGCTAAGGATTTCTCTTCAATCTACATACTTTTAAAACTCAATGTGGCTTCCAGGTGAGACCGCTGTAAGGGTACCATCTGCCCTACATAGTAGTTTGTTAGTGTTATACTTGTAAGACAATATATTCCATGAATAATAACACATGTCAATGAAGAAACAAAGATACTGCAAAGATTAGTATATGGAAGAAAAGTAAAAAATCCCACATTTTTTAACACCTGTATAGTAAATTATATGTGACAATCACGTTGTTACATTGATAGGAATGCAAAATATAGAAGAACAAGAGCTAAATCTTGCATTGCTTAAACAAATTAAAGACAAGTTTAACCCGCACCTGCCAAACTGTCTTCAGAGAGATAGAAATAGGTGGGGGTAGAAAGGCTCACCTCCCGTACTCCACAGTGCCTCTCCCTTAAATCATTTTAAAAATAGGCAATATATCTGTCACCTTTTCTCTTTTACTTTTTCTTCCATTCTAATCAATGGCAAACCCCTTAATGAATCCCCCTGCCCACTATCTCAAAGGCACATTACAGAATAAGAGGACCCAAGTGTCACTTACCAGTTGCATGCCACAGATAAAGATAAGCGTGCACCTGCCATTGCAATAACCCATGGTTTCCGAGACCCCTGCCACAGCCACACTGTCCCACGTCGGCCACCGTCGAGCCCCCACTTTATCCAATCAGATCGCCGGGAAGGACAGGAAAACCTGCCGAGGGCTCGGGGGCTCCGGGCTGCTGCTGCCAGCGTCCTGGGAAGTGACAGGCATTAGGACCTGCTGGCGCCGCGGCGGCAGCAGCTCCAGCCGCGCCCGCCACACATACCTTCACTTGCTGGCTGCACGCGCCGCGCCGCGGGCAACGCCGCCCGTAGAGACGCGCCCGGGGCCCAGAGGGGCAGCAGCGGTAGCCTCGCAGCGCCGCCGCGCCCACGGGCATCTGGCCGCGAAGTTTCGCCCCCGCTGCTCCTCGCGCCGGCTCGCCCCACACCGCCCAACGCGCTCTAGCCACGAGCTCTCCGCCCGCCGGCTATGGGGGCAGCTGCCCGCCTCCCTGCGCCGCTCGCCGCTCCTGTGCGCCGGGATCTACGGGGCCAGGCGGGCGGGGGCGCGGCGCGGGCCGGGAGGGGGCGTCCGGGATCCGCGGTCCCGCGCGACGGCGGCGGCTGCTGAGCGCAGTGATGCGGGATCCGCCGCGTCCTGCAGCCGCGCGTCTCGCAGCGGCGCTGCCCCTCCCCTCGCCCAGATGTGTTAATCCTCATACAACAAATCCTTCAACCTGCTCACCGCCGCCCCCTCCCAAGACGTCAACTTCTTCTAGCCTGGCCCGGCCTGCCACCGAGGGGGCTGTTGGCTGCAGCGTGTAGGCGAGGAGAGGCTCAGAAGCGGCGGTTGCGGCGGTGGTGGTGCTGGGGTCCGAGCGAGAAGAGTTCGAGCGGCATGTCCGTGACTTGCTGGGCTTGTGAAGGTCCTGCGCCCACGATCGAGCCTGGAGCACTATAAACAAGCGAACCGTGTGTGTGTGTTCGGGGCAGAAGGGACGAAAAGAAGGGTTAGCGAAGGGGGATGGGTGATGAAACAGGGGTGCAGCCGAAGCATCTCGACCGTCCGGAAAAACCCGCGTGGGGGAGAGTCGGAGCCCAGGAGGAGAAGGGGCCCGGTGGCGTCCGACGCACTGCAGCCGCGGAGCACCCAGCTCCCGAGAAACTGCAGGGGCCGGAGCCTAGAGTCACGAAGCAGACGCTGCTCAAAAAAGAGCAGGTTGCTGCGGTAGTTGGTAGGGAAATTGGGAACCGGAGGGAGTGGGGATGCAATGAGTTACCGTTGCTGCTTCAAACTGTTGGTTTTACCCATGAAAGGAAAAGAACAGAAACAAGTTTAGCACTCTAAATACTTCGGCCTTATGGACCGTCCTGGGTGGGTGAAGATTTCTGGAGGTCGATGCTGCAAACCCGGTTAATGAGCGCCAGCCAGAGCGGTGCAATGGGTTCCGGTAACCTGCAGAGACACGCTTCAGAGCCCGCTGCTGCCATCTGCGGGCCGAAATCTGAAAAGCGCAGCAGTTTATCCCAGGTGGCGGCCTCTGGGGCCTAAGTATTCAGGATCAAAGAGTCTAGTTTTCTTTATAGCCACGGAAGGCTAGCGTTCCTAACTGTCCCAGGAAGCGAAGGCCTAGTATCTGCTAGAGTCGAGTCATTGGAATAAGGTGTGAGAGTGATAAGAGAAAGGTTTAGGAAACTCCCACACCCCTTCAAGAGATTAAACAGATGAAAACACTTCAAGCAAAGAGCTTCGCTTAGCAAATGAGATTTGATCCAACTGAGAAAATGTCACTTGTGTAGGACATCAGGCTAGGAATCACAAATAAGGACCCCAAGTGATTACTTCCTTTGAATAAATATTATGGCGCATCAGAATAACCAAACACAAAGAAATTGAATAGGGCTTAGGGACCCCAGTCTCTAGGAACCCAGTACTGAATTTTCAAAAAATACTGTGTCAAGCACAGAGTTGAAAAGGAATTTGATTTGTTAAATTTATAGAATGCGAATATTTTAGTACTATACTGAGAATGCCTACTTTCAATTGTCCCATTTGTAAACGAGCTTTTGTCTGAAAAATCCCTTTCAATGTTAAATGAAATTACAAAAGCCCAATACATGGGTTTTATCCACTGTGGGCCTGGCATGTAGTTGTTGCCCCACAACCCTTGATGAAACCAAAGGCAGAGGTATCTAGTGTCAAATATTTCTGTTAGTTATTCCGCCCTTACACATGTTAGCTGCCCAGGAGCTGTGGGAGGATGCAAGTATTTTATATTGCCAAACAAAAAGAAAGCTCTAAATGGTTGCTGAACATTGAAGCAACTGCTGCCATATTGTGAAAAGCCTTCTCTTATTACCTTTGTAAATTCATAACTGCAACAATGCATTCATGTAGATCCATCAATAATCCTGCAGTCATTCCCTGCTCCCAGCGAGAGCCTGAAGGGTCTCTAGGCTACACAGGTTAAAGGGAAGCATAATGCTCTCTATAGCTGACTCTCAGTGCCCTGCCCCTAGTCCCTGGATACTACTTGCTTTTCAGTACATGCCCATATTTTTTCTGCAATGCCTTTGGACTGTCTATGAGCTTTTGCTAGCCACAAGAGCTACTTGATTCAAGAGTCAAGTTACAGCCCTAAGAACAACTCTCACCCCACAGTGGATGGGAGTTAGTGGACAAATAGTCCAGCTTCTCAACCCAGAGATGGGAACACCTGAGACTTACTCTAATCTAAACCATCAACTTCTCCACCAGAGGTGATCTCATCAAATCCACAGTTTCCCATAGTGGTAACCTGTTCATTCATGCACTCTTAACTAGTTTCCTTCCTTTCCTGCCTCATTTCCCTTCTCTGCCAGTGCTTCCTGGGATCACCTCCAAAATAAACCACTTGACTCAAATGTTTGTGGCAGTGCTGCCTCTTGAGAAACCAATGTAAGGCAATCTGCAATGGCTTTTATTCCTGATTTGGCATCACTGGCGTCATTAGCATAGTAATCTGCTCAGAAGAGTGAATGCCTGATTTATATAAAGGTGCCCTAGTTAGGAATTCAATGTTGTTCCTTAAGGTGGCTGTGCCCTACTTGTTCCATGTTGTATTAAACCTGGAGCCTTAGTAAGAAAGATGGTAAAGAAAATATCAACTGTTCCATAGAAGTGTATGAAGAAGAGAGTTATCTCAAGTTGGTACGTTGATTGCACTTTTCATGTACAAGTCATATACTATTCAGTTATATAAGACTTTACTAGGCTATTGACAACTATTGTTAATTTTCTTGTTTCTGAGGGGAGACTGTGATACATAATACACATCTCCATCTGGCTGACCTTAGCAACCTGCTTTAAAGTACTTTTCAAGTCTATTTCACATCTATTATATAATTTATATCTCAGAACAACTCATGGAATACAATAGGTACACAGCCACAAAGTGAATCGCTGTCCACGGAACACTGTCATTTCAGCAAACGCAAAAGCTCCAAGTCTGGCTTTGTAACAACATTGATCATTTCACCCTGAGTTTTACATCATTCATTCTAGTTTAAAAACGTTGAAGGCAGCAATTGTCTTACAGTTATAAAACCAATAAATTTTATCTGAATATTTTATACAAACTTGGAATTTTTTGTTTGGGAAATAATAGTATTTTCAAATATATATTTTTTAAATTTTTAATTTTATTTATTTATTTTTAGAAAGGGAAGAAAGGGAGAAAGAGAGAGAGAAAAACATCAATGTGTGCTTGCTGGGGGCCGTAGCCTGCAACCCAGGTATGTGCCCTGACTGGGAATCAAACCTGTGATGCTTTGGTTCGCAGCCCGTGCTCAATCCACTGAGCTATGCCAGCCAGGGCTTCAAATATATTTTTAAAAGAAAATAATCACCCATAATCTTTCCAACCTGGAATAATCTCATTTTTGCACAAGCCATTTTTTTTATAAAAATGGAATTATATCATACACAGTAGATTTTAGTCTCCTTTTTTTCACTTAAATCAATAACAAATTCATTAACTTTTATGCTCATGGCCTCTGCAGCTTTATATCCCAAGCTCTGCTTTATTTGTAACCATGTAACCCTGAGCAAATCCCTTAGTTCTCTGTACCTTAGTTTCCTTACCTACAAAGGAGGGTGTTGGGGATCATAATGCACAGATGTATATTAAGGTTGTTGGGAGGATTAAGGAAATGTCAATATATGTAAAGGTTTTGGAACAGTGCCTAGTACACAGTTAACAATTTAAGATTCTTAATTACCATTATTCTACACACAATATAGATTTAATATAGATTCCAGTGTAAGAGTATATCACAATTATTTAATTACATTCTTTTCTTAGACATGCAGTTTGTGTGATGAGCAGAATAATGGTTCTTCAATCATGGCTATATCATAATCCCAGGACACTGCAAATATGGTAATGGCCCCTGAATCATGGCTATTTCATAATCCCAGGACACTGTCAATATTATGACAAAAGAGACTTTGGATGTGTGATTAAGAACCCTGAGATGGGGAGAATAGCCTGATTATCAAGGCAAGCCCAATCTGATCACTTGAGCCCATAAGAAGAGAACATTTCCCAGCTTGGGACTGTGGGGGAGGGGACAATGGAAGAAGTGAAAGAAGGCTCAGGGAGATGCAAGGTGAGAAGAGAGTCAGCTGCCTTTGCTGGATTTGTAGATGGAGGAAGGAGGCCCTGTAGATGCTAGAAAGGGTAAGGAAACAGAGTGTCTCCTATAGCCACCAGAAAGAAGGTGTTTGTGCCCACAGCTTGGTTTTAACCCCCTGAGACCCATGCCAGACGTCTGAACTATAGAGCTGTAACATCATGAATGTGTGGCATTTTTGAGTCACTGAATTGTTGGCAATTTGTTATAGCAGCAATAGCAAACCAATATAGTTTGTTTCCAGTGTTTTGATATTTAAGTTTGTACTTATGTTTTTGCCTGTGTTTTGATATTTTCTTATGATAAACTTCTAAAAGTGCACTTGTGAGTCAAAGAATGTGCAAAATTATGATGCTTTTGATAAATGATAGCAATTTCCCTCCAAGGGGTTATATCAGTTTATACTTAGAAGGACTATGGTTGCCATTTTCCCTCTGTCAGCATCAGGATTGGATACTATCAACTTTTAAAAAAAGTTTTCAATCTTGAATTTTAAGTTGCATTTTTATACAATAATTATTTATTAAATACAATGTAAATGTGCTAAGATGGACTGAGGCCTCTAAATATATCACACTGTGCCTTGGCTTGTGTGACTCAGTGGATTGAGTGCCAGCCTGTGAACCACAGGGTCTTCGGTTCTATTGCCAGTTAGGGCACATGCCTGGGTTGCAGGCCAGGTC